ATTACTTCTTTAACCACCAAGAACACAGAAAATCCAGGGGCCAAGGCAAGCTCAAAGGTTAATAATAAAGGACAAATGGGTTTCAGCTCCACAAACAAAACTAACAGGATTTGAAACGCAGGAAATCACATTTTGCCATTAACTCAAAATAAAAAACCAGCGGAACATGGGCTGTAATCCTGTTTCAGGCGTCTGCCTCTGCCCACCTGGCACATGCCCTGGGGGGGAACAGGCTGCTGCTGTCCCCCCTCCTACCCTCCAGATGGCCTGGGCTTGGTCTCAGGCATCCAGGTGCTGCACTTCCTGACAGATCTGGAATCAGAAACACCATGAAAACGAGGAGGGCGGGGAGGCTCTCCCAGGCTGGGCAGCAGGACCAGCAGGCCACAGTATCCCATTCCTTTATTTATCCAGCAGGTACTCCGTGCTAAGCACCCTGCCTGCGTCATCTCACTGACTCTCCACAGCAACTCAGAAGGGAATACTGGGTATTCCCTTTTTATACACAAGGAAACTATGGCTCAGAGAGGTTAAAAAACTTGCCACAGGTTGCATAGCAGTGGAATCCAAGGTTTATATTATGCCAAGGTTCAGTCTTACCCACTGTCTCTTATTTTTCCAGTTTAAGACCAAGCTGTAGGGTTTGGCAGTGAACATTTATTGAGTTCCTGTTGCATACAAGGACTGGTCTAAGTAGTAGCAAATATGATACTTAGTAATTCAACAAGCTCTTTCATACCTCTTTGCTAATGGATCCTGTGAACTGAGATTTTTGAAACATTTTAAAATGTTTCTAAATTAAAGGCCTGAGCTATCTCTGGGAGGGTCACCCTGTGGGTAAGACAGACACACCTCCTGACCATATTGCACAGGTTTGTTTACACCAGCATCACCCAAACATGTGAGTGATGTGTTGTACTATGACATCACGTCACTAGGCAACAGGAATTTTCAGCTCCATTATAATCTTATGGGACTGCCATCGCATACACAGTCCATTGTCGACCAATAGTACAGGGGCTGACCAGTTAGCTCACTTAGTCAGAGCATAGTGCTGATAACACCACAGCCAAGGATTCAGATCCCCTTACCAGCCAGCTGTCAATATCAATAATAATAATAATAATAATAATATAATTAAATAAAACTAGCACAGCACAGGCACCAGCTAACTAAACGGCCACATGCTGTCCATGCAGTAGTGTGATCTGGCTTGCCAATAAGAACGTGGACTGAAGTGCAGAGACAATAACAACTTGTTAGGGATTGCACAGCAGGCAGACGGCTGGTGAGGAGTAGAGCTGGGTCTGATTCTGTAGCCTCTACCTTCTTTACTACTCCAGGGAAGACCCGTAGGTGGAGTGGGGTCTCTGATGCAGCTGCACCTCTGGCCAGCAGGAACCTGTCACCACTTTATGCCTCCTTCCTCTAGGCCATGGAGGATGTGATAATCCATTTGGGTTTCTGGGGCGTCAGCCTGGCTCCTTGGCAGCCAGCGAAGCACCCTGGGATGGGAAATCGGGCAGCCGCCCAGATATTATAAACAATTACTGCTAATTACCAGGCCTGCCAGTTCCCTATTGTCTGCTCACAATCCCACCAGGAACTGAGGAGCAGACAATGATGATGCTGGAGGAAACTTTCAATTCAGGCTGCGGAAGGCCTCGATCTGCCTGGGAGGCTGGGCTCCTTCCCTGCCTTGGGACCCATGAAGCCACTGTTTCACAGGCTTTTGGAGCCCCAACTCTCCTTATAAAATGAAACCTGGACCCCCCCAGATGACCGGGAGGGTGGGATGGAAAAGAGACCCAGGGACGTGGAGGAAAGTCCATGCTCCCGGCTGTGAGAGTGTCTAGGTTTTAGCCTCAGTGCTATTAATTAAGGATCTTTGATTTTGCGAGAATAGTGTGAACATTTCAATCCCCAGACATTTAAGGGACTATTTTTTCCATACTTTCTCTTTAAAAAAAAAAGCACTGATGCATAATGTTTAATAGACTCCAAAGCCCGACTGCCTGTCTGCCTCTGTCTTGGTTTGGCTTCTTCCAGAAGCAGACCCTGACTCAGAGATTCAAATGGACATGGGTGATTTGGCAGGTGGTCCCAGGAATCACCAATGTGGGAGCAGCAAGGAATGAGACAGGAAGGGGTAGTTTGTAAAGGATCTGTTATCAAGCCTGTTACCACTGTGGGCAGTGGGATCTCTGGGGGACCGTGCTGGACTATGGCCAAGTTATCCCAACTGCAGACCACTCCCAGTTTGTCACTGGCTGGGGACTGCTTCAGGGGTGTTGACCCTCAGGCATGTCCAGACTGTTCTGCACATAGGCTGAATGTGCTCTCACAGCCAGAAAATCAGCCCTCAGACCGAGTGGCAGGTGTGAGAGTATGCAGCCTCATTTGAGAGGGTGGGGCAGGGCCACACACTACCTGTATGACTCTCTAGCTCATCTGTAAAGTGGACCTGATAATAGTATTGACCTCAGAGGGTTGTTGTAACACTAAAGTGAATTAACAAGTGTAGAGCACTTAGACCATTGCCTGGCACACAGTAAGCACCATAGGTAGTGCTGGGTTAGAGAACATCCTCCTATAACTATTCATTGAGTGAATGGGCGAATCTTTTGCCAACTGTGAGCTTTTGTGAATTAACAATTAGGCATGATGGCAATCAGAAAGATTTGGTTCAACCAGCAGGGAGCATGTCTAGACTGTGAAGGGCTGGGAGGGGCTGGAGCTAGAAGGGAGGAGAATTATTGAACTGTTACCTCTGAAGAACTTGGGAAAAGGTAGATTAGCAGAGTGGAAGTGGAAAGGGACACCCGTGCAGGTGGGGGGAGGTGGATAGGGACCAGAAAGCCCACCTCCTGCGGAAGCTCCTCCTGCACCTGCAAGGCTGAGGTTCCAGCATACTCTCTAAGCAGAGAGCTTTGGGGGCAGAGGGAGGGGGCTCAGGGCAGTGAACAAAACAGCGCAGTGCCCTCAAGATCAGCGCAGTTCTCCCTCCTGCTCAAAGACCTCCCTGGCTGCTTCTGTGAAACCTGGCACACAGTAAGTGCTTATTTAAAGTTAACTATTGTTCTTAGAACATGCTCTGATGGAAAGTTGGGATTGATTTTGGAAGTATTGTGTTCAGGTATAGTCAGTCATGCACCGCATAATGAAGTTTTGGTCAACAATGGACTGTGTATGCGATGGCAGTCCCATAAGATTATAATGGAGCTGAAAATTCCTGTTACCTAGTGACATAATGTCATAGTACAACCCATCACTCACATGTTTGGGTGATACTGGTGTAAACAAACCTGTGCAGTATGGTCAGGAGGTGTGTCTGTCTTATCCACAGGGTGACCCTCCCAGAGGTAGCTCAGACCTTTAATTTAGAAAGCCAAGCATTTGACAGAGTAGGTCTGACCCCAAGTGAAAGGGTTCTTGTCTACTTTAGAATTCTTACATGTTTACATGATTCCCACCCATCCCCATAGCAAGATAATATTTATTAAGTTAGCTAACACTCACTGATTGCTTGCTGAGTGCCAGGCACAATCCCTACCTGTGATTTAATTTTCATAACTTTGTGGGGTGGTATTAGTCTAATCCCCATTTAGAAGAAGAGGAAAATGAGGCACAGAGAGACTCAATAACATGATTAGAGAGCCCACGCTCATGCAACCAGTGGTTGGTGTAGGTAATAGGAAAATTCATTGCTGTTCCCTTTCATGACACACTTCCCCATAGTGACAAAATCACCTAGCTGCATTTCTCAGGATGTGTCCCAGTTATTAAGTGATGCATGACTGTACTGGCTCTGCCATTGTGAGCCTGTGGCTTTAGGTCAAGGATGGACCTCAGCTTCCTCATCTGAATAATGGTGATAAAGGTAAAAACCAGCCTCCTGTGGTTGTGGTGAGGATCAGATGAGAGAATGGGTTGTAAGTGCCTTGTTCCCTAAGATAGCAGGGGTGCCATCAGCCACGGTACTTGGCGCCTCATCTCACTTAATGTTCACAACAGACCTAGCAGGTGGGTGCATGTTACTCCCACTTTAGGGACAGGAGAGGAATGCTTAGAGAGGTGAAGGGAGGGGGAAAACTAACTTAATCTGGTGTAAGCAAAATAATAATAATTATTGTTATTGACTTCTGTAATCAAAAGAAGATGAAATAACTTGCTTCAGGCAGAGCTTGATCCAGGAGCTCAGGCAGTGCCACCAGTCTGATGGCTTCATTCTTGGGCTCCAGGCCCCAGGCCCAAGTCTGCTGGAAAAAGACAGCTTCTCACTCCCCACTGTTCAAACAAAGTGTCCAGACTGGATTCTCGTTGGCTGAGTTGGGCCACGTACCTGTCAGTGTCTTAGCCAATCACTGGCTGAGGGGAAGGAATGCCCTGATTGGCCAGGCTGAGCTGCAGGCCTGGCCTCTGAAGTTGGCTCTGCCCTACCCCACAGGGATCATGTACCATGGGGAGGGGGCTCCCCAAAGGAAATTTGAGGTCTCCTCAACAGAAGGAGGGGAAGTGGACATTGGGTAGCCAAGCAGCAGCAGCAAGTGCATACCTCAGAGTCCAAAGCTGCTGGCGCAGTGCTTCTCAGACTTTCCCGTGCAAGTGGACCATCTGGGGCTCATGCTCATGGTAAGATGCAGATTCTGACTCAGCAGCCAGGGGGTGGAGTGGAGTGCAGTTGTGTTTCCAGTTAGCTCCCAAGCGATGCAGCTGTTGCTGGTCTCTGGACTGCACTTTGAGTATCAAAGCACTAAAGCCACATGAACCAGGCACTTGATGAACTACATACTGTGATTCTTACAACCACCCCAAGGTGTAAGTATCAACATATCCATTTCATGTAGGTGAAACATAAGGCCTAGCAAGGCAAGGTAGGGTGATAGATGTGGACACAAGATTGCTGCGGAATGAGGGACGTTCTGGAGCTTGACTGCCTGAGTCATCAGAATACTCAGTCCGCCCTGGGAATTTTTTTTTTGTCTCTTTTCTTCTTGCAGCCTTAACTATGGGGGAGTTTGCCTGGCATCAGATGCCCAGTTCAGTGACTTCCTGGGCAGCATGGGGCCAGCGCAGTTTGTGGGCCGCCAGACCCTGGCCACCACACCCATGGGTAAGTGCCCCAAGGCCTGTTCCCAATGGACAGGGGCGGGGGTCCCACTGGAAGCCCTGCGTCTCTCCCTCCTTCCCCTCTGCCTGTTGACTATGTTCTTTATGCACCCATCCTGGATCCTGGTCCACATTGCCCAGCTCTCAGCAGAGCCCAGGCACTTGGTATGGAAGTTGGTTCTGGTCTTGTTTTGGGCTGGGAGCAGGGGAAGGGAATTTTATTCCTAAGCAGAGAGAGCTGAGTCCTTGCTTGAGCTTCTGAGTCATTTCCCAGTCTCATCGCTTGGGGCCTCTTGCAGGGGATGTGGAGATTGGCTTGCAGGAGCGGAATGGTCAGCTGGAAGTGGACATCATCCAGGCTCGGGGACTGACAGCCAAGCCAGGCTCCAAGACACTGCCAGGTGTGGGGGCTGCCTCCCCTCTGCAAGGTGGGGGTGGAAGTCAGAATCTAGGGGTATCTGCAGTTTAGAAGAGAGAAAATTGGGCTAACTCGGTGGGGGGGGACCCACTGTCCCAACTCTATTGTCTGACATGGAAGTGGTGGCTTAGGGTTTATTTTGGAGACCCCGTTGAGATTGTTGACATTGTTGGACTCCCCCAGTAGACTGAGCTCCTGGAGGGCAGAGAGCATCCTTCCTATTTCTCATTATACCCAGTGCCGAGGAGGGTACTTGCACACACGGGGTGCTCAGCGAGCACTTGCTGAGGGAGTGCGTCAGTGAGTGAATGTATAAGCCAGGGAAGGGGTGGGCGAGTCATGGGCTGAGAGAGAACAGGTGAGTACAGAGTGAGCCAAGGCGGGGGAAGTGGCCGGGACCACCAGGGAGGTAGAGTAGGCCCCCCTACCCACCTTGCCCATGCTGCCTCCTCCACAGACCCCCCCAGATGGCCCCCATCCCCAGCAGTGGGTGGACAGCTTCCCTCTGTTGTACACTTTGCCCACCGTTTGAGGGGCCAGACTAGAATTAACCTCTGCTGGCCTCTGTCCCCAGCGGCCTACATCAAGGCCTACCTGCTAGAGAATGGTGTCTGCATTGCCAAGAAAAAGACCAAAGTTGCTCGCAAGTCACTGGACCCGCTGTATAACCAGGTGCTGCTGTTTCCTGAGAGCCCCCAGGGCAAAGTCCTGCAGGTGAGGGGCACTGGGGCACATGCGTGTGGTGGTCAGACTTGAGCAATTTTAAGGAGGTGGAAACCACAGGACTCAGATGAATTGGGCATGGGGGTGATTCCACGTACTGGTTGTGGGCCTCTGAGTGGCATTGGCAGGATTTGAACCACTGTGTCTCTTGCCCCACAGGTGATCGTGTGGGGCAACTACGGGCGGATGGAGCGGAAGCAGTTCATGGGTGTGGCCCGCGTGCTGCTGGAGGAGCTGGACTTGACCACCCTGGCTGTGGGCTGGTACAAGCTCTTCCCCACCTCCTCCATGGTGGACCCAGCCACGGGCCCCCTGCTCCGGCAGGCATCCCAGTTGTCCCTCGAGAGCACCGTGGGGCCCTGTGGCGAGCGATCTTAGTGGTGGGGATGGGGAGGGGCTCCCCAAGATGGCCTGGAGACTGCCCAGCCCTGACCTGGGACCCCAGGCCCAGGGGCACATTGAACAGAGGAGGACGGGGCTCTCCCCCCATAGTGGGGTAGCAGAATGGGGAGACCTGCCCCCCTTGGGCCCCTCCTCACCCCTTCTTTGCCTTTTACCCCCGAGACTTTCCCTCTCCCAATGGGATTGGCTGCACTTTTGACTTGGCCGGTTCTTGACCTGGTGGATGTGGCTGCAGTCCGGAGAAAGGAAAGACTGGGGTGGCAGAGCAACCACTCTCCTGCCCCAAACACTGTCCATCCTCTCCCCCTTTTTGCCTCCTCGGAAGCTTGCTGCCCGGAGCCAAATCCAGAACCCAGCGGCCATCTCCATGGTGCCAATTACCAGCAAGTGTCTTTCCTGCGGCACCGGGTTCAGGCAGCTACTCCTGCCCCAGAGCTGACGGGGCAGTTTGCAAGGATCCGGAGCCAGCTCCCAGGGGCCCAGAGCCCCCCCACTTGAAGAGGAGCTCAGGCCTCCCTCTGCCTGCCCGTGGAAGGAGCTTTGCCGCAGCCTGTCTGAGTCCATCTGTCTGTCCCCTCCTGCCTGCCCTTCTTCTGATGGCTCTAGGAATTGGGGTCCAACAGAGACCAAAGGAAAGAAGGAGGTACCCGGGGCCTGACACAGACCCCCAGGGTGCCTCATTCCAAGGGATTGCAGCAGGCTAGTTTGAGAACTGTTGGTAGACTGAAAAGAATGCTGTCATCTATGTTTTGGCAGAGGAGTTGTGGGACCCTGAGTTTCCAGAACCCCAAGCTGAGAGAGCTCACTGTCTCTGCATTTGGGGGATGTTGGATTGGAGGGGGAGGCTAAGGAAAGCTAAAATTAGGATTGGTAGTGCCAAGGTAAGGGTTTCCCATATAGGAGAACCCCTCCTTTTTGGATGAGGTCAAAAGTCATCTTGTCTACCCCTCTGCCTCCAGGCCAGGGGTCTGGGGAGGCAATAGAGCCCCCCAATTTTAGTCTTTTTGAACAAATTATCCTGTACTAAGGGCAGAACCCACTGCCCAGGCCTCAGTTATCTTGGCTCAAGGAAAGATGGTGGTAGGAGAGAAACAGAAGAGGTACAAGTGTAAGACTTGGGAGATTCCTTCTTAAGCAGGCCTGGGTAGCTGCCTTCCCAGCCCCGGCCTTCCCTGGGGCCTGCGGTAGCCCTTTTGCATGCGAGGCTGGCCCCTCTTTCTAGAAGCACATTTCTGCCACCTCCCCTGGGAGGCACCCAGCAGCCTACCACTCCTCTTTACCTAGTCCCTGCTGTGTAGGGCGTAGTCCAGGTTAGCTGGGTAGAGTTAGTGTTCCAAGCCCTGGGGCCTGTTCTTAGCTCATATATAGTCCTTACAGAGTCCCAGGATGGGGGTGCAGAGGAGACTCAAGTACATTCCAGGAGACCACTGTCTCCTTGCTGGCCCAGGCCTGGATCAGGCAGACTTGCTCACCAGGGGCCAGCTCCTCCTCCTGCTCCCCCCACTTCCCCTCTCCCCTGTAGGGTTGTAGCTGGAGCTGCCCATTATACTCAAATGTTCCAATTTATTATCCTTGGTACTGATTTTCCTTACGAGGCACTCTTGATGATTGCTGGGCCTTGGCGGAGGGGGCCTAGTCTCCATTAGAGTGTGTCGTTCTCCACTGAGGATACCCAGGCTGTGTTCGGTCCCATCCTGTTCTCGGTCCCATCAGGCAATTCCTCCCAACCTGGAAATTCTCCCCTCCCTTCAGCTTGTTTTAAGCCCTGGGTATCCTTTAACATTCTGATCGAGTTATACCACCTCCATGGAGCTTCTTACACTGCACTGGGAAGGGGAGATGGAGATGCCCCTTTTATCCAGGAGGTCTTCAGAGCTTCTGGAACTGTGGGGGTTCCGATCCCAAGGCTGGAGGCAGGAGGGAGCAGGGCTCTGGATGGACTCACATCTAAGGCCCAGAATCAGCCCCTCCCCCGTTTGTTTTTTTTAACCAGTGTGATTTCTCCACTCTTTATTACTCACCATTTGGAATATTTTGAGCCAGGAGAGCACCTTCTCTCTCCAGCTGTCACTGGTTGTTCAGGGGTAGCTATTCAAAGATGGGGCAGAGCCTGACTGTCCCAACCAGAGAGAAAGGGGGCTTAGCGCTGGCTTGGGGGTCCCCTCCCCAACCCCCAGCTTAGCCCTCCCCCGGGTGTCTGCACAGCCTTTATAAAAAGAGAGAGAGAGCAAGCTCTGAAGCAATAACAACACCCTGGGGGTGGTCAACCAGGGCCCCCTCAGTGATTTTCTTGTTTGTTCTGTGAAATCTTGCTCACCTCCTGGAGGGGTGGGGTGGGGACTGGAGCCCTGTTTCTTTGTGTCATCCTTGTGAGCACGAGCACCCTTTGAAGGGGCTGTGACATTGGGTGTGGGAACCATGTCTGTCCTCACCAAGGGATGGGGTTGGGGGAGGGGGAGTGACTTATTTTCATCATTAGCTTTGGGAAACCTTCAAGGTCAGCCTGTCCCCTCTGCTGTCTGATCCCCTGCCCACCAACACCACCATTTGGAGAGAAGCAGAGAGGGTGGAGTTGGGGGAGGGGGAGACTTCGGGAGGCTGGGATTTCTAGAGGGTGTTTTTTTCAATCTGGGCTAAGATCACCTGCAGGAGGGCCATGGGAGGGAGCCATCTCCACTTTCCTGCTCCAGAATCCTCTTTTCATATAAAAGGGAAAAGGGCCTTTGGGACCATTAGTCCATTTCCATTTTACAGATGAGGAGACCAAGGCCCTGCGCAGGGGAAGAGCCCCCCCCCCGGTGTCACCTGTGTGGTCAGTGGCACCCCCGGCCTGAGTCTCCCACTCCCAGCAGAGGCTGAGCTGGAGCCAGGGCAGGATGAGCGTGGCGCCATCTCCCACACCTCCTCCTCCCTTTGCTCTTTGGAGCCTCCCAGTGGCCCTGGAAAGATGGGCAGGATGAGTTGTAGCCCATCTGAAAGGTTAGGAAACTGAGGCCCAGGAAAAGGACCTGCTTCACACAAGACCCCTCAGCAAGTGAACAATGGGGACAGAGCTGGGGACCATCGTGCTGCTTCCTTCAGGTGACAGGAGACCATTGCCCCAGGGCACGTCTGCCATGGTACATAATTCTGGCCTTGAATAAGCCCCAGGCTGTGTAGCCCTGTGGGTCTGTCTCTGGTGCCAGTAGCTCTTCCTGGGCCTGGGTTTGGGGGAGAAGGTTGCCAGGGAGACTTCGCTGTCTTGGGAATCTGGCCCTGCAGACAGGGTGTGCAGGATTTGTTCCAGGCTGTGATGTTTGGGTGAGGGCTCCTGCTGAGGGGCCAGAACCAACTGGAGGGAGAGTTGAGAAAAACCAGCTCCTGCCTGGGGCTGTGAGAGGGTGAGGCTGTGGTTCACCTCACCTTAGGGAAATGCTCCTAAAACTCAGATGTAAGGAGAGTTGGCCTTCCTTGTAGTGCTTTTCAAACTTTCTGTTTTCAGAGTGTTTTTACCACAAGTGTACCCTTTGACCCTCACAAGAGCCCCTGGGTAGTAGATGGGGGCCTATGTTGTCATCCCCGTTTTAAAGAGAGGGGAGCTGCGGTCCTGGGAGGGGAAGGCACCTGCCTAAGGTTCTACTGTGAGTTAGTGGCTGGGCCAGGACTAGAACTCAGCTCTCCAATAGTTCAGAGCTCTATCTTCTACGCCTGGAGGTGAAGCAGATAGTTAAGGGGGTGGTTATGCACTTTCTGAGCTGATTCACCATCCAGTTCCTTAAACCAGGAGCTCCTGGGCACATTTCAGTGTTCGGAAACAGAACTGAGTCCCACCCCCTTTGGAGGCACAGCTGTTGCATTAGGCGAAGTCACCTGCATTTATTTATTGAGCAGCAGCGCTATGCCAGGCCCACTACCATTCCCCTGTAGTGACTCCTGAGGCCCTCTAGGAGGGCCCCCTGTCCGTAGAGCAGCACCTTAGAGTGGATGAAGAACATTCACATCCACGAGCTCGCCTGACTCAAACGCTGTGAGGCGGGCTGAGGGTGTACATTGTACCTAGAGCTTCTGTGAGGGCAGTGGAAACTTGAACCCAGGGCTGTCGGCATCACCTCTGGAGCCCTTTCACTGTTTGACAGCCTCCCGAGGGGTGGCAGGAAGACAGGGCCCCAGGTCCTCAGGCTGGGGGCCTCTCTCCATCCACCCACCTTTCCATTATTCCCTCTCCAGGAGCAGGAGCTTCCCGGGCCTTTGGGGAGGGAGGGTTCCTGGCCCCTGGGTTGGAATGGGTCACGTTGCATTGTGTTTATGACCATGTAGCTCATGTTGAAAATTAAAAGTTTTTGGCTTTTCTAACCTGGCTTGCTGTTGCTTTGTATTGAAACAGTTCTGTCTGGGAAGTTAAGGGAAGGTGGTGTTTTAAGGGGCTGAGGGAGGGATGCTAGGATCACCACAATGGGCTTTGTGCACCCCGTTATGGGACAGAGGCCTGTTCCAGAAAGCCCTGCCACAGATGCACAGGAGGGATCAGGGTTCTGGATGAACCCAGTCATTTTACAGATGTGGAAACTGAGGCCCAGGGAGGGGATGAGATTCCCCAAGGTCACATTGCTGGTGATTGGCGGGACCTAGAAGAGAGCTTATCCCACAGCGTCCGGCTGCATCCAGGTGGCCCCAGCGACGTAGTGGGTGACAGCAAAGCCCCTCTCATCCTGAAGTGGGGCTGGCCAGGGACAGCATCAGCTTTGCTAGGAGGGTGGGGCAATTATTCGGACATGGGCCAGTTCCCACTCTACCTGCTGGGCAAAGAGAATAAATAGTGCGGAGAATGGCCCTGAGACCCACACTGGACAGTGGGCAGCTCCCTTCGGTCCATTTCATCCATCTCTGTTCCCCGTGCTTTTCATAATACGAGCATCTGGCCTCGCTGATCGGATTCCAGGACTGAAAGTTGTACGTTTCCCCCATAACACGGAAAACCAGCCTCTACACAACAGAAAAAATAGCCGCCTGCCTCCGCTCTGAAGGGCCCGCTGGTGACGCGGACCCTATGCTGACGCGGCCACGCCTTCCACAACAATGTGGACTGCGAGATGCTGACGCGGCCAGGCCTTCCACAACAATGTGGACTGCGAGGGATTCGCACCGTACGTCTACGGGACGACTGTAGAGTCTGGCTTGTGCTTATGATACGACTTCAATATATTTTTGGAGAGGACGGAGGGGACTTGCCGCAGGAGGTAATGAGAAACTGCTTGTGGCAGAAGCCGGCATGCAGGCTCCTCGCCCCTATCCAAGCCCCGGGGAGGGTGCCCCGATGGATGAAGCCAGACCCCCCCACTGCTCTTCCCCCTCACCCCCGGGGGAGGGCTGTCAGATGGAATTCCGCCGGACCGGGGGCCTGTCTGCCCTGCCGCCGCGCACGGCCCCGGGGCTCGAGGGCGGAGAGAAGCCCAGATTGTCGCGGGCGCTCATCTCCAGCTGGTGGACGCGGTGGGAGATGGAGCGGGAGCCCGCGGGGCGGGCTGGGCGGCGGGTCTTGGAGGGGCCGCGGCTCTCGGGCGCCCCCAGGCGGAGCGGGCTGGCGGCGCTCTCGGGCGCGTCGGCGGTGGCCGCGAGGAAGCGCAGGACCACGAGGTTGAGGAAGGCGCCAATGACCGTGAGCCCCAGCAGGATGTAGAGGAAGCTGAAGGCCACGTAGGGCGGCCTCGTCTGCAGCGCCTCGTCGCTCTGCAGCGCCACGAAGTCGCCGAAGCCGATGGTGGTGAGGGTGATGAAGCAGTAGTAGTAGGCGTGGAAGAAGGTCCAGCCCTCGAAGTGCGCGAAGGCGGCGGCCCCGAGGCCGAGGGTGGCGGCGCACAGCAGCAGCCCGGCCACCACCATGTTCTCGGTGGACACGCGCGGCCGCCGCAGGCCCAGGCAGCGCTTGGCCGCCAGCAGCAGGCCCCGCACCAGCGCGTTCAGCCGCTCGCCCAGGCTCTGGAAGGTGACCAGCGTCAGCGGGATGCCCAGGAACGCATAGAACATGCAGAAGACCTTGCCCGAGTCCGTGCCCGGCGTGGCGTGGCCGTACCCTGTGCAGGGACAGTGAAGGGTCGGGTCGGTGAGTGCCCAGCTGCATGGAACACCGTCCCCCCGCAGCCCTCCTGCTGGTGTCCCCCCCGCATCGCAGAGCCCCGCCGACCATCTTCAAACACTAGCTCGACTAGGTCATTCCCCAGCTTTAAAACCGTGCGTGGCTATTTATAAACGTCCCGGAGTGTAAACACCCAAATGTTCCTCGGTTGGGGAATGGATGAACTACCTGCGGTACCCCAAACAGTGGAACTCTTTTCGGCAACAGAACGGCACGAACTACTGTCACCAAGGGGTGGATCTCAAATACATCGGGCTATTATGGAAGAACAAGCTCCAAAGGCAACCTACTGCATATTTCATTTAAATGACCTTCTGGAAATGGCAAAACTATAGGGATGGACAACACACCTGGGATTGCCAGTCATTGGAGGAGGAGTTAACTATTAGGGGGCATGACAGAATTTTGTGGGGTGATGGAATTTCGGGGGGTTTCATGTCTTGATCATGGCTGCAGTTATCAAGTATTCATTTGAATTACGGTGCACAAGCTTTTTCTTGATCTGAATCTCACCCCCTCCAGCCTCACTCCCTTCTCTTCACATCCCCTCTCTCCAGCTACACCCCATGTTGTGTCACCAACCAGCCTGTCCCACTCTACATGCCTTTCCTCGTGATTTTCCCTCCCCTGGATTGCTCCTTTCTCCCCTCCGCCAGTCTCTGCCTCCCCTTGACCATTCAGTCAGCCCTCACTAAACACCTGTTGGTTCTGGTTCTGTCTGGTGTAGCAATATTCTTCACTGGGTCCCCTCAGTCCTTGTAGGGGATCTAAACATGACCAGGATTCCTTGTCTTGGAACATGTGTCACTGCTGGAATGAATGGACATGTATGTTTTCCTGGAGAGGAGCACCAGCTTTCATGGTATTCTCAAAGGGGCCCTTAACCCAGGAAGAGTGGATCAACAGAATATGTATGTCTCCTCTAGTAGATTGGCCCATCTGCCAAAATGTAAAATATACAAACCTTCTTTTTGTGTGTGTGTGTGACCAGTAAGGGGATCTCAACCCTTGATGTGGTGTTGTCAGCACCACACTCTCCCAAGTGAGCTAACCAGCCACCCCTATATAGGGATCCGAACCCGTGGCCCTCGTGTTATCAGCACCGCACTCTCCCGAGTGAGCCATGGGCCGGCCCTAAAATATACAAACCTTTTGACCTCAGCAGTTTGAGTTAGAAAGTTAGCCATCCAATTTACACACATGTGCAACATGATCTATGCATGTGGGTCACCTCTGCAGCATTGATGGTCATATCAAAAATTAGAAACAACCTAAGTTCCATCAGTAGGGGCCTGGTCAAATAAATCATGGTGCCATCTAAATGATGGAACACTACACAGTAGGAGTTCTAACCCTGGAGTGGTTTTGACCCTGAAGGGACATTCAGCAATATCTGGAGACATTTTTGGTTGTCACAAGCAGAGGAGGGGGTGGCTGTGTGCTACTGTCATCCAGAGGATAGAGGCCAGGGATACTGCTGAACATCTAGCAATGCACAGGACAGTCCCACCCCCACCACTGCAAAGAATTATCCAGTCCAAAATAATTCCGAAATTGAGAAACGCTGCTGTACAGCCATGAAAAAGAAGATGCAGGGACTGATATAAAAACATCACCAAAGGGTCGGCCCGGTGGCGCACTGGATAGTGCGCCGCTTGGGAAGCACGGCGGCGCTCCCGTCCGAGGGTTCGGATCCCACATACAGACCGGCTCCCGCTCACTGGCTGAGTGAGGCGCGGGAGCAACACCGAGGCTTGCGATCCCGTTGCCGGTCCCCGGTCCGGTACAGGGGCAACACTGAGGGTTGCGATCCGTTGCCGGACACGGAAAAAAGACAAAAGACAAAAAAAAAAAAAAAAATCACCAAAATATGTTAAGTGAAAGAAGCAGGGACAAAACAGTATGTGTAATATAATGTCTATATAACGTGTGTGTGTGTGTTAAAGGAATATATAGGCAGAGAAAATATCTGGAAGTATACACAAGAAACTGGTAACTGTATTTGATCCAGGGAGTGGAATTTATGGGTGGAGAGACTGGGCAGGAAGGAGACTTCCTTTTTGTTCTATACCCTTTTTTACCCTGTGAAGTGTGTGCTGTGTGCTTATATAACTTATTCACAATATCAACACAACAGGCATATTTCAAGACTTATGGTTCCACATCCACATTTCTACTGCATGGCCCTATCAGTTTGCATCTCTGTTATTTAGGGGAAGGGGGCTCCATCCATCACTAGACTATGAACTCCTTGAGGGCAGGGACATGGCAGTCACTTCTCTATGTCACCCAGACACCAGTGCTCTGCACAGAGCCTGACACAGACTACAGGCTCAATGAAAGTTTTTTGAATCAAGCCAATTTGAAGGGGGTGCTAGTGCAAGGCAGAGGAGCCTCTTCAGGAATAAGAAGCTGGGAAGTGCTGTTTTCAGCTGTTTGGGGCTATGCCAGGTTTTAGCTGAGAGTGAAATGAATAATGGTAATAACTAAACATGCTAGGTACTCCTCATGGGTTATCTATCTTATTAACCCTCCCAATGACTACATGAGATGATATTATTATCCCCATTTTACAGATAAAGAAACTGGGCACAGAGGGAGAAAGTGGCCCAAAGGTCACAGGAACTGAGCTATTAACCACCATTCTCCATTGCCTCTCAGTGCTTCTATCCAAGGAGAACTTGAGCTCCTGGGTCCTGGCTCCTGGCTCTCTGCAAGAATGGCTGAAGTAGACAGGACCACACAGCAGGTGGTGGCACTGCCAGGTGGCCAGAAAAAGCAAAACTCCTCCTGTTTCCACTTTTATTCTGAGTCTCTTTCTCCAGGCTCCCAGATGCATGTCAGAGGGGAACAGCCAGGAGAGGAGGCCAGTGCCATCTGGGAGCCTCCAAAGAATGTGGGGAAGGGCAGAAGAGGTGGATGGGGTCCCACACCAGTGAGCACAGTGACAGGGAGGGTCTCAGGCTGAGCCGAGACAGGGAAGCAGGAGTGCCCGTGGAGACAAGAGCAGGGCAAAAGGGCCGAATAGGAGCTGGGGCCTTGGTCAGCAAATAATGATTATTATCACTAATTAGTGGTGCTGACTTAGCCTCAGGCACTGTGCAAGCGTTTTACATGCTTGACCTCATTTAAACCTGGCAAGCACCCAGTGAGGTAGGAACCATTGCATTTTGGCTTTGAGAAAACCAGAGCTCAGAGAAGTACAGTCAATTGCGGGAGAAGGCAGGTGGCAAGACACCAGAGCAGAACTCCACTCTCGGTAACTACAGAACTCGTGCCTTTAACTCCACCGCTAAACCCAGAGCTCACATTCACTTGCAAGAGCATTACAGAGAAACTTTCTCCACAGCCCCGGCTTCCAGGTTGGTGGCCCGAGCCCAAGGGGGCCTGGACATCCACAGCTGGAAGCCGGGGAGTGGCTGGCACCAAGCTGGGAGCCCTGCAGAGCCTACCTCTTTCCCTCTCGATTCCCCAGCCAGCTGGTAGTCATGGCAACAGCTGGCGGTCCAGTTGTTGCAGAGGTACTGCTCTGATCCCTGAGGGTGAGTGAGGCCCAAAGCTTGTGGTAATCAGTAATTCCTTCAACAAATATTTATTTATTGAGCATCTAGTACATGCTAGGCACTGGCCATACAGTAGTGAGTAAGACAGACTAAGTCCCTGTGCTCACGGAGTAACAAAATAATTGTTATCATATAAAATCAATCTTCTATGTGTCAGGCCCTGTGCTAAACTTTCTGCATATATTATCTCCTTGATAATAATGATCTCATCAGAACCCTGAGATAGGGCCGGCCCGTGGCTCACTTGGTAGAGTGCGGTGCTGATAACACCAAGGCCGCGGGTTCGGATCCCATATAGGGATGGCCGGTTAGCTCACTGGTTGAGCGTGGT